AGATTATTTTGTCGTCTCAGGGGGATGTATCATTGGAGTTTTTCTCTGCCCGATTGAGATCATCCAGTGTGAAAGGGGCATTAGTGTCAGAGACTTCTGCACATGCTGTAAGGATTCTGTTCCACCTTTCTTCCTCTAATCCTGTCTGCACTGTTAATACATCTGGTGGAAGCTGATTACTGGCTGCTCTTTCTGCAAACCTGGTTCCCAGTACTTCGGCTTCCTGTTGTGAATACTTAGGGTGTGGGGCCTTAGGTGTTTTATTTCCTTTGGCCTTGTGGATTTGCTGCCACATCTCTTCAAGAGAGGTGTGTTCATTCAGATGTGAACACCATTTCAGCCACTTTTATTCTTTGATTGTCCTGGTCTCTTGATGCACATGTTCCTTGACCTCACAAAGTAAGATCCTGTTGCGGCCACTTGGCTGCTTTTTGTATAGCTTCCTTGTGCGGTTGAGTCTATGACTCAATATAACTCATAGTCTATGACTATGAGTTCTTTGACACGTTCGCAATAGTACCAGTGATCTTTGAGGTGTCTGTTGCACTGTTTTTTCAGTGGAATTGTGTGGCTGGTTGCACTTTGAATCGCTCTGACTAAATCTTGTTCTGCCTGATTAATATCTTCGGAAACATCATAGTTTTTATGCCACTATGAAATGAGGTTTTGAAATCGATCCCATTTTGCTAGAGCGAAGTTCCAGGCATTGGGTGGAGGTGGAGGTGGGGTGGGTAAATCCAACTTTAAATCAATTTGGACCCATAGCGGTCGCTTGTGAGTGTGGGCTCAACTGACCATGTTGCTGCATCTCTTAGGGAGGCTGAAACGAAGGTAAAGTTTAATCTCCCTCCTTGGATGTGGGTTGGTTCATTCTTGTTTAGGATTTGGATTTCTGGAATCTGGTGTAGTAGATGTGCTAGTGATGCCGACCTCATTTGTTGTGTTCGAGCCCAGTGTCAATCGATGATGGGCATTGAAATCACCACAAATGATTGTGTTTAATGTAGTCGAGTGTCCAAATAACACCGAGAGATCCATTTCAGCACGTGGAGACCTGTAAACATAAAACACTTCAAGTTTGTCGGGTCTTAGCTCGACGGATACTCCCATTACCTCTGTCCCTGCTCCAGGCACAGAGTAACAGGATGTCTAAGCCTTTGGTTGCTGCTATGCATTGTAAGTGTTGCAATTTTGTGTGCAGCCCTTGTGCATTCCATTGCAGAATCTTTAGTCCTCTAGATTGTTGGAACTTGCTGATATTACCGAGGTATCCATGGAATCAGATGAACTCACTATGGAAGTTGAAATTATAGTTGAGGTTCTTGGTGAACTTGAAACTGACTCATCTAGATCGATTTCAGAAGTACTGGACTCTACCTGTTTTTTAGGAGAAACCTGCCCTGCAATCTTGATGGTGAGGATATTTTTGTCGAATTTCTTGAGCTTGTGCTCAATAGTCTTAAGAGTCTCTGTGGTATGCTTGATACCGTGCTTCGACAGCAAATTTTCGACCAATTCCGTGATCAAGGTTTGAAGTATTGGTCAGAGGGTGTCCAGTTGTGCGGGAGCATTACTTACTGCTGTGCTGGTTTGGGGCCTGTTTACTCTTTGATCCTTATCAGTGGAAACTCGGACGCTCTTGCAATCATTGCCCCCAGTGTGCTTACTAGATGCAATGGGCGGGAGTTACGTTGACCTATTTTCTTGTGGCCCCCAGCCATCCCTCTCTTCTGGGCGGAGGCCTTCACACCCTCCACCATGGCCGATGGTGGAGGGCCATGTGTCCCTTCCATCTGGTTTAGTCTTGGTAACCTCCATGCTGTTTTTGTGGGCACGGGAGCTAGTATATGTTTTGGTTGGGGCTTCTGCTCTGCTGTAGGCGTGGGGGGGGGGGTCCTATATATCAATATCCTTTAAACCTTTTGGGGCATTTTAAACTCTAGGCGTGGAGTGCCTTGGAGCAATTTGGGCATTTAGCTTGTACAGGGTGGGAAGTCTTATATTTATCAAGGCATATTTTCGTGTCGTGGGGCTGGCTGCAGACTCCACACCTCGCTAGGCGTTGACAGTCGTTCTTGTGATGTCCAAATCTTTGACATCTGAAGCATCTGAGGGGCTCTGGGGGGGAGGTAAGGCCTGTGTTGAAACATGCCCCAAATGCCAAGATCAAGCTTCTCTGGGATCCGTGCATTTACTGTGAGAAGGACTTGTCGGGTTTCCTGCTTCGTAGATTTTACCTGGCACCTTTCTGCTGACACCACATAATTCAGCTGTTCGAAATGAGTTAGGGCCATGTGCAAGGGATAGTGGAGGACAATAATTTTCCTTATTTTGTTCTCTGGCTTGAGTTCGTCGCATTTCCAGTAATTTTTAAGAATCGTTACAGCTGTCTCGTCTTTGGGTCTCATAATATATTCGCCTTTGAGGTTTGGCTTTGCTCTGATCTTGAGTTTGGGTCCACTTTTTTAAGGTCCACTACAGTGGCGTACGAGGACTTACCTTCAGCATGCTGCACCTTGAAGACTTGCAGTGCGGATTCTATCTGGATAGTTGGAGTGCTTATCAGTAAAGGCCTCTTTTCTTGATAGGTCACTCCACTATCCTCCACTTGATAGGATAGTGGAGTGGTTCGTCTTGTTGGCTTTGTTCACAGGATGCTAAACGCCATCACTGTCAGAACCTGAACTGGAGAGAGTCTTCCTTTTGTGAGTGGGAGCAGCAACGTTGGCTCGCATACAATTAATCTGGTAGTGAATTCTATCGTAGGGAGGCTGACTGTGGAGTGATGTGTCTGTCGTGTGACGGTGACGATGACGTGGGGGGTACTGGTGTCGTTGGACGTGATCTTATATACAGCTGAACGAGACGTGTGAGGTCATCGGCATTCCTTTGATGTGGAAGAGTTCATCCTGGTGGATTTCATGGCAGCATCGTATCTGACAACTTCGTGACCTCCTCACCGTTGACCTGGTCCTTGGTTAGTGCCTGACTCAGGTGTGAATTTTCCATTGTATTTCGCTGACTATCTCACATCGTGTCAACTGTAGATGTTCTGTTGTTATCCTGTTTTGCTGTGTACTGTTTTCTTGTTCATAAGAAAGAGCTCAGTGGACCTCAAGCGAATATAATAAATAAATATATCAAACTGCCTGGAGGGTCATTAACGTGGTCCCAAAACTCAAGAAGGACAGAGTTCTTGCTGCAACTATAAGCATGATATTAATCATGGGGGAACTTCTTAGAAACAATCATCGCAGATTATATGGTAATCACCTAGAAATCTCAGGTTGATGAGAGACTCCCAACACGGGATGACGAGGGCCCTTTCTGTCCCACCAATTTATTTGTATTTTATTCCAGTATATTTGAGGCTGTTGACAACTATAGCAAGAATGATGCTATATATCTCATGACCTCAGCAAGACCTTCGACACAATTCAGCATGAAAAGGCACATAGGAAGGTCGAAGTGTACGACAATGGAGGAAACATACTAAACTGGATCAGAACATGGTTAAAACGAAAAAAAACAATGTAATTATATATATAATAGATTTTGAGTAGATGAAAGTCACTACTGGCATCCCGCAGGGCTATGTGTTAGGCCCACTGTTTTTTTATAATTTACCTCAACGACCCGGATACCGCAGTAACCAGTAATATCAGCAAGTTTGTGGATAATACAGTTACAGGGCGTGTAGTGGATATAAAAGAAGACAAACGAATAGCAAAGGAACTTAAACATACTGCAGTGCAGAGCAGAAAAAAATTACAACTGCAGTTTAACTTCGAAAAACTAACATTCTTTAACCCAGGCATATATAGCAACGCTATATACCATATTAAGAATACAGTCACGGAGAATAGGGTTGTGGATGATTAAAATGGGCTGCCAGCTAGCATTATTGAGACACAGTTTACCAAATTTCACAAATAGATTAGGTACGCACATGGATGAGAGGGGAGAGGGATGATTTTTACATGGAACCCGCCTAGTTAGACCTAACAGACTTTATGTGATGCTTCTTAAGTCATATGTTGTGTAACTCCACAAACTTAATGTTGTACACAATTCCTTTGTCAAAAATTTTTGTTTGTAGTTTAATCGTAAAATTATATGAATATTTAAGTTTCTTTCTTTTAAATGTACAGTACTAGTTTCGTTGTTTCGGAGTATTCCTTCTATGTTGTGACTAAGCCAGAGGCGTTTGGGAGTATTCACACGATAAATAAGGACTAGAGTAAAAATTGTTGATTAATTGGTGGGAGTTTGTCAGCTGTGGTGATGTTGTTGAGGTAATTGGAAATGATGGACATATCTTCACTATTACAACTAATATTACTACAACTCCCATTATATCTACTTCTACTTGGATATAACAAACAATTTTATACTGATATTGAATCTCTGCACTTTTGGTGTAAAAAAAGTTTGATTACATAGTGATTACTGTTATTTGTTTTACTACTAATACTAGTGAGAAAACAAATACGAGCAATGTGGGGACTAAATACTAACACCTGGGTGCTCCCAGCTGCGTCCCATAACCCACTAGACCACGATATGCTTCACGTTACGTAACCTGGGATCCAACTTAGTCCGCTAGGGTTCTTGTGGAACAGAACTGAAACGAAATTAGATTTTTACAAATTACCAGTTTGCACTCTGGTGTGGTATTGAAGTGTTCAATATACATGTTCATGTTCTCATGTTCTCTTCAGATTCTTCAGATTTCCTTCTGTACTAATAATAGTATCACTATTACTAGTTGTTCTAATGTTAGAAACTACTGCTTTGTGATGCTGCTAATATGGCTCACCTTAATACCACTGCTACTGTAACTGCTATTTTGATTATTATTACTTCAACTATTATTTGTACTGAGATTTGCCACAGCTACTACTCTGACTTCATCTGTGACTTATTTCTACTGTAAAAAGTCACAGTAACATGTTCGTCAGTCTTTGTATTCACTCTTCTCCGGAGAAGGTAAACCACAGTTAGTTTACGACTCTTTACTTGATGAAAACTATAGTTTGCTTACAGCGATACTATACTTTATACCCATTATACATTAGTAATCATTACTTGATTCAGATTGAATATTGATTGGTTCAAGGTATACATATTTAGGTATGGTATAAATTATTTGCCTCAAGTTATACATTATTTGGTTTAAGTTAATCATTACTTCCTTTTAGTTATTCATTATTTGAAACACAATATACGTTATTTACTTTAAGTTATACATTACTTGCATCAACGCGCACTGTTCCTGGGTGAAGGTGGTGTTACAAGTGTAAGTAGAGGATTCAAGTACAGGAGTGGAGACTCAGGTGTAGATTATGGTCACAGGGAAGGATAGTGGTTCGGGGTAGTACCTAGTTCTCTAGGTTTACCTGGAGTTTACCTGGAAGCTGTTCTGAGAGTTCTTCTCAAGTCCGACCACAGGTCGCAGGAGATACCTAGTGTTTACAGGTAGGTGGAAACAACCACCTAGTGTTACCAAGTATGTGGAAAAAGACGTCTATGTATTCAGCTAAGTACCTGCAGGTGGGCTCAGATCACGTGGTGAGGGCAGTCATCGGGCTTGACACAGTAAGGGTATGAAGGGTCGGTGTTGAAGAGCAATGATCCTGTGCAGGTCTCAACGATGGCTGGCTGGCCGACGGTGCGACAGTTGAAGTACTGCTGGTCACACGTCGTGCACTTGGGGAAGAGTCCCACTGACGTGCACGTCATGGACTCCTGGCAGCCTGAAGATGGGGTCGTACTTACCCCGGGGACCGTGGTGTCGCTACACAGGGTATTACAAGGGGCGCCGACCACACAATAACCCATTGCTAGATCAAAGTTGGACCCTGAAGGGCAGGTATTATGGTTCAGTTCGCTGGCTAATCCCTCTTCGGGACACATGTAGTATCTGGTGCAGTCGTAGGGGTCAGGAGCCTCAACTACCTTGGGATAGCAGTAGGGAATACACAGGTCGCCGCAGCACTTGGTGTCGTCCGTACCGCAGATCGTACCGTCAAAGTAAGGTGTACCAACTGGGCATTCCACGGGCCCCACAGCACTGGTGCCCACGCAATAGTAGTAGTTGTTGCAACTCTTCGGGTCAGAGATCTTTTCCAAGTCGGCGGCACATGTTAGATGGCAAGGATTTAGTGTGCAGGTAGGTTTACATGGTGGGTCATCAGGAGCAGGATCAGCACACGCTGTGTCAACAAAATCTTGACCTTCTGGACAAGACACCGGAGCGTCCGAGGCCAAGTTGGGTGCCAAACAGATGTAATATTGAGTGCAATTGAGAGGATCCGGCACCTTATCAGAAGCGGCAGAACCGCTACAATCCGGGTCACAGTTAATCTGGGCGAGGACGTGGGTGACACAGAGCAGCGCCGCCACCAACACCACCTGCAGCAGACGCCAGCCATGTTAATGTTCCTGCTGAAACCAACACTGATAATTAAATGATAAAATTATCAAACATTACCTTGAACTGGAAATATAATTTTTATAAATCAAACAATTTTGATAAGTGTTTGCGAATATATATTTGCTGTTGTCAGTGTTGTTATTATTGTCATTGTTTTTATTATTGTCAGTGATGTTATTATTGTCGGAGTTGTTATTATTGTTACTGATGTTATTATTGTTAGTAAAGTTATTATTGTCAGCAATGTTATTATTGTCAGTGTTGTAATTATTGTTAGTGATGTTATTGTCAGAAGCGATTTAAGCCCAAGAAAACATTGAAGCTAATTTTTTTTTTCTAATCAAGTGGTAATAATGGGAATATTTTACCAGAGACTGAAAATTAAGAGGAAAATCGCTAAAACGTTTAAAAAGAAGTTAAACAAATTTTAATTTCTCTTCAAATCCGCGACGTGCATTTTTACCGCTACCCAAAGCTTTATTTTTTAAATAATGTTTTTGAACCTAGTGATATTTTTGACACATGCGGATCTGAGATACGTACTTGGGTTATTCTGGATAATATTATAGACGAAATAATCAAGCGATTGTTTCAAACATAGGATATATATATATATATATATATATATATATATATATATATATATATATATATATATATATATATATATATATATATATATATATATATATATATATATATATATATATATATATATATATTGGTAGCAGTCTTTCCTGTAGACATATATTATTAAATATGACCGAAAAAGTAAGATTAATAATTCTAACACGAATTTTCTCAATCTTTCGTACATTTCTTTTCACTGTTGGAGGTAATTCAAAAATCAATTCTCCAAAATTCATTTTTATTTCTAGTCTGACGCGACACTTGAGCGCGTTTCGTAAAACTTATTACATTTTCAAAGACTTTACACATACACAACTGAATAGAACTTACATATCTCCGATTTGTTTATATCTACATTGTTGTAATCCACAAGTTAGTAGGAATTATTAGCTAGAGGATCATTACTACAACACTTAACGAATGATGATTGGAAGTTCATGTAAGTAGACAGACTATGGATCACATATCTAAGAAAGGTCAATGGATTAAGACCGAAGCTGTTTAGCCAAATGATTAATTCCTGGAAAGAGGAATTATTCTTCGTCAGGCTTCTAGGAACAAGATTACCTCTCTAGGGATAAGGTTAATCGGATTATACCTTCCTTGAGAGGTGGGGTGAAATGGTTGAGGGAGATGGCTGACTGGAGTCAGTCTGATTGTGGGAGTGGAACTGGGGAGTCCTCCGCCTCTCTGTTTGCGGCAGCAGCGAAGTGTAGCAGACAGCTATGCGAGAGCCTGTTGTGATCTTAGTGACCAAGTTAAGTCTGCAGTATGTGAGTATTGAATGTAAGACTAACCGGGTGTGGAGCGTTGTAGTAATCATTCCGTATTAGGGACTTAGGCGGAAGTTACGAGTGTGGGTGGTGATCGCGGAGGTCAAGTGGTCTATGGGTATTGGAAGTGTATTGACCTAATAGAGTATGTTAATTAATATAGTATTATTTGTCAGAGTCTATTCTTTGTAATTAAATGACAAAATCCGACAGCCCTTAAAGACCTTCCATGTGTCCCTTCATAGTGTTCCTGGTTTGGTTGGTGAGGGAATGTTAGGGAATTGGTAGACGACATATTTGGTGGCAGCGCAAACAGGTTTTGGAACACTGTGCGAGATGAAGGAAGTGTGGTTCTGGTTTAGTTGGTGAGGGAATGTTCGGGAAATGGCAGACGTCGGGTTGTGGTGAGAATGGGGGTTACTAGACGGAGGAAAGAAGGGTCAGGTGAGACCAGGGCAGAGGTGTTAGTTAATTAAAGGGACTAGGCCATTGTGGGGCACATGTGGGGTTTATTTCTTTCTTTCCAGATTCCCACAACGAGAGACGGCTAAGAGGCAAGTCTGGACCACTGAAGCATCGGGATCCAAAACAAGTGCAGTGTTCGTAGTGCGGATTATACAGTGTTCGTAGTGTGGATTATACAGTGTTCGCAGTGCGGATTATACAGCGTGGCGAGGTAAACTAGCGCGGGTGAATGTGGGCCAGCATAGGCCATGTGCGGGCCAAGCGATGGGTGGGCCAAGCGAGCCGCACCTTGGAGCTTGTTTTATATCGTTGGTAAGGCGGAAACAGTGAGAAACCGTTGCTAAGGTGAAATTAATCGTGTAAACTACGTAATTTAAAGTTAATAAAATTTCATGTAACGTGTAAATCGAATATTTTAAGGATAATGAAATATTACCTAAAGTACTGTGCGAGTTCCGGCGTTGTCAGGTGTAGATACAGAAAATAGGCGCAGTGAATTATGGACGCCTTGGCATAGCGAGCGACGCGTAATTTGACGTCTGGGGTTCGCCGTCTACTGTACCCTGGAGAGGGCCAGGGAGATTTTTTTGTGGGTGCAGGTAGCATTATGGAGAGTGTTAGCGTGGGACACGGGGAGCATGTCCCGTTGGTGGGGGTGTGTGGCGCCGGGTGTAGTGCATGGTTGTGTATTGGCGTTTGTACGCCGGGGTGTGTAGTGTAATGCATGTGGTGTGTAGTGTAATGCATGTGTAGTGGCTTATTAGACGCCAGCGTAATGCATAGTATTTACTGTAGTGAAATGTGCATGTTTTCACTGTGGATATCATGGATGTAGTATAGTGCATGACATTGTTGGCATTGTAGCGCCAAGGTGTAGCATGTGTAGCATAACTGGGTGTTGTAACACCGGGTGTATTGTAGACATTAGCGTTGAAGTATGTTAACGCAGGTGGTAGAGTGTGGCGGGTGGCCACTACACAAGAAATTATGCCTGACGAGTGTTGGTCAGGTAATTAATGGATTACGAGAGAAAAGGGAGTGTGTGTGGCGTCTGGTTACTTATTGGTGGTGTTATTGGTGGTGACGTCTCGCGGTGTTTTGATGCGCTCTGGCGCAAGGCATATGCCTGTGGTGGTAATGGCGTTGGGGGACGCCATGTGTGTTGTGTTGAGGGCGTTGGAGACGCCGTGTGTTGTGTTGAGGGCGTTGGGGACGCCGTGTGTTGTGTTGAGGGCGTTGGGGACGCCGTGTGTTGTGTTGAGGGCGTTGGGGACGCCGTGTGTTGTGTTGAGGGCGTTGGAGACGCCGTGTGTTGTGTTGAGGGCGTTGGGGACGCCGTGTGTTGTGTTGAGGGCGTTGGGGACGCCGTGTGTTGTGTTGAGGGCGTTGGGGACGCCGTGTGTTGTGTTGATGGCGTTGGGGACGCCGTGTGTTGTGTTGATGGCGTTGGGGACGCCGTGTGTTGTGTCGATGGCGTTGGGGACGCCGTGTGTTGTGTTGATGGCGTTGGGGACGCCGGGTGTTGTGTTGAGGGCGTTGGGGACGCCGTGTGTTGTGTTGAGGGCGTTGAGGACGCCGTGTGTTGTGTTGAGGGCGTTGGGGACGCCGTGTGTTGTGTTGAGGGCGTTGGGGACGCCGTGTGTTGTGTTGAGGGCGTTGGGGACGCCGTGTGTTGTGTTGAGGGCGTTGGGGACGCCGTGTGTTGTGTTGAGGGCGTTGGGGACGCCGTGTGTTGTGTTGAGGGCGTTGGGGACGCCGTTGGGTGGTGTAGTGTGGTGGCGTTTGGACGCCTGGTATGGAGTGTGGTGTTGTGGAGTATATGGTGGCGCAGGGGCGCCAGGTAGTGGTCGGTAAGGTGAGTATTGGCGTAGCAAGGTCGGTGCGTTAGGACGCAGGAAGTGGTTGTAGGGATGTGTGGCGTTATATTGAGGTCATCAGTGGTTGGGATGACCAGTGGTAATGGTGTGTCGGAGTAAGTAAGTCTTATGGATAAGATGAAATGTGAATAATTGCAGGAGTTGGTGGCTGCAGTAGGCGAGTCAAGTCGATATCTCTAGCAAGACTCATAAAAGACTAATAAAAATTCATTATTTTCATTAAAATTTTCATTAATTAAGTCGGAGTGGGTAAGTCTTATGGATAAGATTATAAGGTAGAATTTCAAATTTCAGGTGTTGGTGGTTGCAGTGGACGAGCGAAGTAGATATACTAATTTCTTATTAAGTTGTTACAGGAATCTCGCTAGAGGCGAGCCAGTGGCAGTATGATGTTTTAGTGACATTAGTTGTGAAATTATTTTAATGAGGTATTTATTGTGATAATGTATGTGTATGTATATACTGTATATTACCTCATCGGCACCATTACTGAGTGTTAGGCTTGAGAAGGTCCCTCGGGATCATGTCACAGAGCTTCAGGTAGAGTAGAAGGGAAGCCATGAGGCTACACTCAGTAATTCTAGAGAAAAAAAAGGGGGAGGAAGTGAAGCCAACGTGACGTTATAGGCGAAATTCGCCCCCTGACATCAAAGCAGGGATAAGGGCCAGCTGCAATGGTTTTGCAGCTGCGCTCAGGCTATATACGGGGAGAGAGTAAGGAGCCGAGGGGGTTATGTAATAATGGGATCGAGCCAGGGGGCTCCGAGGGAATATTTTGCAGGTACAGCGGTCGGGAAGGTGTGAATACAGGTGACACACTCTGGGCGGATGGGCCTAGACCAGAGAGCTGTGAGGGATCTACAGCGTTCTGGGATTGGTGCCCTGGAACGAGACGTCAGCACAGACCCAAGGGGACATGACCCTGGGGTAGGAATCTCCGTTGCTCTGGAGGCCAGGATCACGTTACCTCAGAGCAACGATGGGACATTAACAACATTCACCAGGCTGGACAGCCTGGGTTTTGTCTGGGTCATGGAGGATCTATGACCTAGCAACCATGGGACACGAAGACAAGAGAAGTGATGCTGCCAATTGTGGAGGAGGCCAGTGAAACATTGTGTGATCATTGTAAGCCCTTATGTCAACAGTACAGGGCAAGATGTTAAATTATAATTACTAAGGATGAAGAACCTTAGATATATATGTGTTGTGTATATATTAATGACTAGTGTCATTTCTGTTTAAGTGCCAGCA